ATATAAATTACATCAAAACTTTCTTTCCGATCGCAATGGTATGAAACTTGAAATCAATTACAGAAAGAAAACTGAGAAAATTACAAATACCTGGAGACTAAACAATATGCTACCAAAAAACAAAGGGTCAATGAACAAGTCAAAGAGGAAATCTGAAAATACCCTGAGATAGCTGAAAATGGAAATACAATTTCCCAAAATCTATGAGATGCAGCAAAAGCAGTTCTAAGATGGATATTTACAGTGACACGGCCCTTACTCAGAAAACAAGAAAAATCTCAAATAAACAACCCAAACTACCATCTAAATGAATTAGAAAAAGAATAACAAACAAAGCCCAAAGTCACCAGAAGGAAGAATAAAGAACAGAGAGGAAATAAATAAATTAAAAGCATAAAAACAAAAACATCAACAAAACCAAGAGCTGATTTTTTGAAAAGATAAGCAAAACTCATAAACTATAGCCAGGTTCATCAGAAGGAAATGAGAGAGGACCAAAAAAAATAAAAAAAGAATCGAAGAGGAGAAGTAACAACTGATACCACAGAATTACAAAAAATCATAAGACAATACTACAAATAGTTTTATGTCAACAAATCGAACAACCTAGAAGAAAGGAACAAATATCTAGAACATACAACCTGTTAAGACTGAATCAGGAAGAAACAGACAATCTGAACAAATTTATTACTACTAGTGAAAATGAATTTATAATAAAAAAAAAAATTCCCAGCAAAGAAAGTCCAGCATCAGAGGGCTTCACAGGAGAATTTTACCTAAAACATAAAGAAGCACTAATACTTATCCTTCTCAAACTATTCAAAAAAACTGAAGTGAATGAACAATAACAAATTTATTCTACAAGACTAACATTATCCTTATACCAAAGCCAGACAAAGACACTACAAAAAAGAAAGTTTCAAGCCAATAACTTTGATGAATATAGATAAAAAAATCCTTAAAAACTTATTAGCAACTGCATCCAATGATATATAAAAAGAATCATACACCATGATCAAGTAGGATTAATTCCAGGAATGCAAGGATAATTTAATGTTGGCAAATCAGTGTGGGACACAATATTAAGAAAAAAATAAAAATCACATTATCATCTCTACGAGTGATAGTCGCTCAGTCGTGTCCAACTCTTTGCGACCCCATGGACTGCAGCTCACCAGGCTCTTCTGTCCATGGAATTCTCTCGGCAAGAAGACTGGAGTGAGTTGCCATTTCCTTCTCCAATCATCTCCATATATGCAGAAAAAGTATTTCACAAAATTCAATATCCACTCATGATAGAAAATCAATTCATGATAGAAAAATCTCAAAGTTGGTGTAAAAGGAATATATCATAACATAATAAAGGTCAGTTATTATAAACCTACATCACACTCAATGGTGAAATGGTGAAAAACTGAAAGACTTTCCTTTAAATTAACAGATGAATGAAAAAAGACGTGGTGTGTGTGTGTGTGTGTGGGTGTGTATTCCAAATACACATAATGGAATATTCAGTTCAGTTCAGCTGCTCAGTCGTGTCTGACTCTTTGCGACTACATGGACTGCAGCACGCCAGGCCTCCCCATCCATCACCAACTCCCAAAGTCCACCCAAACCCATGTCCATTGAGTCGGTGATGCCATTCAACCATCTCATCCTCTGTCATCCCCTTCTCCTCCCACCTTCAATCTTTCCCAGCATCAGGGACCTTTCAAATGAGTCAGCTCTTTGCATTAGGTGGTCAAAGTATTGGAGTTTCAGCTTCAACATCAGTCCTTCCAATGAACACCCAGGACTGATCTCCTTTAGGATGGACTGGTTGGATCTCCTTGCAGTCCAAAGGACTCTCAAGAGTCTTCTCAATTTATCACAGTTCAAAAGCATCAATTCTTCAGTCCTCAGGTTTCTTTATGGTCCAAATCTCACATCCATACATGACCACTGGAAAAACCATAGCCTTGACTAGATGGACCTTTGTTGACAAAGTAATGTCTCTGCTTTTTAATATGCTGTCTAGGTTGGTCATAACTTTCCTTCCAAGGAGTAAGCGTCTTTTAATTTCATGGCTGCAGTCACCATCTGCAGTGATTTTGGAGCCCAAAAAAATAAAGTCTGACACTGTTTCCACTGTTTCCCCATCTATTTCCCATGAAGTGATGGGACCAGATGCCATGATCTTAGTTTTCTGAATGTTGAGCTTTAAGCCAACTTTTTCACTCTCCTCTTTCACTTTCATCAAGAGGCTCTTTAGTTCTTCTTCACTTTCTGCCATAAGGGTGGTGTCATCTGCATATCTGAGGTTATTGATATTTCTCCCGGCAATCTTGATTCCAGCTTGTGCTTCTTCCAGCCCAGCGTTTCTCATGATGTACTCTGCATATAAGTTAAATAAGCAGGGTGACAATATACAGCCTTGACGTACTCCTTTTCCTATTTGGAACCAGTCTGTTGTTCCATGTCCAGTTCTAACTGTTGCTTCCTGACCTGCATACAGGTTTCTCAAGAGGCAGGTCAGGTGGTCTGGTATTCCCATCTCTTTCAGAATTTTCCACAGTTTATTGTGATCCACACAGTCAAAGGCTTTGGCATAGTCAATAAAGCAGAAATAGATGTTTTTCTGGAACTCTCTTGCTTTTTCGATGATCCAGCGGATGTTGGCAATTTGATCTCTGGTTCCTCTGCCTTTTCTAAAACCAGCTTGAACATCTGGAAGTTCACGGTTCACGTATTGCTGAAGCCTGGCTTGGAGAATTTTGAGCATTACTTTACTAGCGTGTGAGATGAGTGCAATTGTGCGGTAGTTTGAGCATTCTTTGGCATTGCCTTTCTTTGGGATTGGAATGAAAACTGACCTTTTCCAGTCCTGTGGCCACTGCTGAGTTTTCCAAATTTGCTGGCATATTGAGTGCAGCACTTTCACAGCATCATCTTTTAAGATCTGAAATACGTCAACAGGAATTCCATCACCTCCACTAACTTTGTTCGTAGTGATGCTTCCTAAGGCCCACCTGACTTCACATTCCAAGATGTCTGGCTCTAGGTGAGTAATCACACCATTGTAATTATCTCGGTTTGAAGATCTTTTTTGTACAGTTCTTCTGTGTATTCTTGTCACCTCTTCTTTTTTTTTTTTTTTCTGCCACCTCTTCTTAATATCTTCTGTTAGGTCCTTACCATTTTTGTCCTTTATTGAGCCCATCTTTGCATGAAATGTTCCCTTGGTATCTCTGATTTTCTCGACGAAATCTCTAGTCTTTCCCATTCTATTGTTTTCCTTATTTCTTTGCACTGATCGCAGAGGAAGGCTTTCTCTCTCCTGGCTATTCTTTGGAACTTTGCCCTTCAAATGGGTATATCTTTCCTTTTCTCCTTTGCTTTTGGCTTCTCTTCTTTTCACAGCTATTTGTAAGGCCTCCTCAGACAGCCATTTTGCTCTTTTGCATTTCTTCTTCTTGGGGATGGTCTTGCTCCCTCTCTCTTGTACAGTGTCACAAACCTCCATCCATAGTTCATCAGTCACTCTGTCTATCAGATCTAGTCCCTTAAATATATTTCTCTCTTCCACTGTATAATCGTTAGGGATTTGATTTAGGTCATACTTGAATGGCCACCTGATGCGAAGAGCTAACTCATTTGAAAAGACCCTGATGCTGGGAAAGATTGAGGGCGGGAGGAAAAGGTGACGACAGAGGATGAGATGGTTGGATGGCATCATTGACTCAATGGACATGGGTTTGAGTGGGCTCCGGGAGTTGGTGATGGACAGGGAAGCCTGGCGTGCTGCGGTTCATGGGGTCACAAAGAGTCGGACACGACTGAGTGTTTGAACTAAACTGAACTGAACGGTTTAGTGGTTTTCCCTACTTTCTGCAATTTAAGTCTGAATTTGGCAATGAGGAGTTCATGATCTGAACCACAGTTGGCTATACTCAGCCATAAAAGAGAATGAAATTCTGTAATCTGCAACAACGTATATGAACTTAGAGATTGTTATGCCTAGTAAAATAAGTCAGACACAGAAAGATAAATACACTATGTTATCACTTATACGTGGAAACCAAAAGATAAAACAAACAAATGTATATAACAAATTAGAAACAGATTCACAGATAAAGAGAACAAATAAGTGGTTCAGTGGGGAGAAGGAGGGGGAATAAGGGAAGGTAAAGGGACGGGATTAAGAGATACAAAATACTACACACAAAATAAATAAGCAACAGGAATATATTGTATATAGCACAGGGAAATTTAGCCTTTTTTTTAATAACTTAAAGGGAATATAATCTATACAAGTATTGAATTACTATGCTGTACACCTGAAACTAATATATTGTAAATTAACTTCCATTAAAAATAATAATAAAGCTACTTATAAGACTGCATAAAAATATTAAAAAATTTTGTTTGGGCAGTGAATGACCTTTGATGTTATTACTTCATTTCTCCAAAACATTAACGATTCCCCTTGCAGTGCTATACTTTTGGAAGCAGTCTAAAGTTCAGAAGATGATTTAGAGGCTCAGTTCTAACATTAATCCATCCTACCCAATATGATCACCAGGAAAGGAAGACTCTTTTGCCAATCGTCAAGCCAACAAAAGTTTTTGCTATCTATAAAACTGAGATGCCACATCAATTTCCTCACCTCCTCTGCTTCTAAAGCTCTTTAATCACAGAACCAAGAAGCAAATAGACTCAAGATTTCTTCTAAGAGCATTATTGTTCCTTTTGTATTATCAAGAATAAATAGCAATGAAGAAGAACCTAAAGCATGGTTTTCTTTAGCCTCTAGAGAACATCTACATGTTTCAAGACTCCCCTTTACAGAGAATTTGTAGACAATCTTGCTTCACCTACTGAACAAAGAAAGACCTCTGGAAATAAACAGTCTGACTTTCAGTTACTAAAATTTGTCTTATATCCTTTTAAGTACAATGCCTTGTAAATTATTTTCTTCCAAACTATACAAAACAATTCAAAAACAATTCAAAAAAGCCTACCTCAGCTTGGCAGAGCGCATGAAGACCTTGTAACACCAAGGCTGCTGGGGTAGCTTGGTCAGGCTTGGTGCACTCATTCAAAACCTGGGAAATAGCTGCCAACATATCTGCACCATGCTGATAGGGCCTATAAGAAATGACATTTAGACACAAGATTAAAGTCAAAGAGCTATATTACTACTCCAAGGTCTTTTGCCTGAATAAAAAACACTAATGCTTTTCTTTACCCTCATGCCTGTTAAACATGGACCCTCAACAAATAAAACCATATGCTTTTCTTCCCAAAGATTTGCAACTTCATCATTTCTGGTATAACTTCAGGCTCATGTTTCATATTATCACCCAAAAAAGAAGACACTTATTAACAAATTTTATTCTCCCCGAATCACAAAACCTACAGTCTGTATTCTGTGTTTTCACTGCAGGGGCATGAGTTTGATCCCTGATTGGGGAATTAGTGTCCCACATGCTGCGTGGTAGAGCCAAAAAAAAGAAGAATGTGAAGGAAAAAACCCTATTGTCTGAATCAACAAAACTCAAGTCTATAGTAATGGTGAAAAGAAATGACTTACCTTATTGAGATCATCAGTAAAGCCAGGGTTATGAAATCAGAAGATGACTGATTACAGTAGTGTTACAAAGTTAGATGGTTATGCCTGTCATGATGATGGCAATGTATGATGATAAAGTTAATAATAATAATATGAACTATAACTGACTGAGCACTTATCTCATGTCAGGAACTGTGCTAGATTCACTGACTTTTCTTCCTCTCATTCCTCTATTGCACATATATTGCGCTATGTACAGAATGCTTTTAACCTCATAAAGAAACGCTTAGATCTGCATTCCTTGTAACCCCTCAGTGATATATTTCTCTCTACTTAACAAAATATCAATTAAAAAATTGCCTGATTGAATTCTATGAAATCTACCCATGGAAATCATTTAGCAAAAATGGAAAATTTTGATAGGATCTTGAGGTGGTAACTGACAGGTGTACTAAATAAGTTTTTGACAGACTCTGATCTCGTCTGATATTTAACCTCTCCTGAGCCTCAGCTTTAAATATGTAAAAATAAAACATCAGCTTTCATCTCTTAATTTTTTCCATGCCAATACCTCAAGAGAATCTAAACTCTGAGGTCTTGGGATACATGTGTATAACTTTCAGACCAAGTGATTTTTCATGTTGCCAAAAGGTTGGAACTTAGAAAAGGGGCAAAACTGCTAAGGCTTAAATACAGTCCAATCTAAGATTTTACACAGGAATCACTGTATTATCAGCATTCAGGCCAAATCATTCATTGTAAAGCTTCAGGAAGTACCATTTGCAGTGTCATCCTTGACAAAAGTGAGGATGATGCTCCAAGAATTCTACAGTGCAGTGGCTCAATCAACATGAAACTGCAAGATTACAACCTATTTCAAATGTATTAAATCTATTTCCTTGCTAAAGATTTTGACCTAATTCAAGAAAATAGAAATCTGATGAGGTGGAGCTCTGCTTAGTGTTATTTCAATCTTAGGAACTCTTGCCTAGCTATTAATCCATAACCTAGAAGAGCAAAAGCATCTCGCTAATATCTTCAAGTCTTTCTAAACCCCAGAGCATATACAAGGATTCAAGGTCATTTCCTTCCCTGTAATATTTCCTAACAATTAATTCCATTCAATGAGTCACAAATAAGGCCTTCTCCAGTAAAACATCTTATAAAAATCAAGCATAGGTTTTCAAGGAATCTCTATATGGTTCTCCACAGTGGCTATGTCAATTTACATATCCAGCCATAGTGCAAGAGAATTCCCTTTTCTCCATATCCTCTCCAGCATTTATTATTCATAGATCAAAAAAAAAATTAAGCATCACATAAGGAGCCTATATAAGAAAGAACAATTTGACCTATAACCCACTGCTTAGGTTTCAGGAATTGCTATACAGAAAAATACAAAACATAACATCTTATGTTTTATTACAACATTAAATTATTATCCAGAAAAGGATATAAGTATCTGCTAAACTGAGATATAAGACTAGACCTGAAAAGACTTGCCTGCTACTCAAAGTCACTGTCTGATGTTACTAAATTTTACAATCAGACAACTTGTGCTTAATATTCATTTATTCTTACTCAAATATCCTCTGCCTATCTTTCCTAGTGTCTTGTTTGCAATAAAAAGATTAAATACAAATATATATATCATGCAAAATAAATGCAAAAATATATCATGCATTTACATATATATATAAATGCAAAAGTATGTATCATGAGATACATTCCCAAGGGTCAAGCGTGTCTTACCTTTGCTTACATATATCCCTGATCGATGCTGCCTTAGCAATTAGTTTCTCCCACTGGACTTCCTTGCCCACAGACAGGGAGGGCACATCGGACATGGCCATGAAACGCTGCAGCTCAGGATAGACACGATCCTAAGAAGGCAGTTTCACAAAAAAGGTAATCGTAGTACAACTTGAATTGAATAATCATTATCTCCTTCTAGGAAACATTTTCACCTCTAAATCTTACATTTGCATTGCAAATTAGAATGTATTTCTTCTAATCAGCAAAGAAGAATGCTGTTATGATTGCTAGAGATTTTCTTGCAGATCTATGTACTATTCATTTCATAAAACTAGAAAAAAGTGGCAAAATCTCACTTTAATTACAAAGGCTCTAATCACTTAAATTTCTATTACTTTTTCGCAAAAATGGAAAAACAGATTTCAAAATTAAGGAAACAAGATGATTTTCTATTCTCAATTTCTCTCTGAGAGTCAATCAAAACTGACAGCTTCATAGATCAAAAGTACAACACTAAATTAAAATTTCTCAATGCAATCATTTATGCCACTCACTAATATCACTATATCAAAGCACTGTCATGCATAATGACAAAATTCATTTTCTTCAGTGAAAGGGACATGCTTAATATCCACACAAGTGTGTATCTGAGCCTACCTGTTTTTCCCACAAAGATGTCAACAAGCGCAAAGTGAGAGCTTTTAGTTGTGGAGTGGTTCCAAGAAGTTGAATTACTCGTAGAATCTGTCCTATGCATACCTACAGAACATTGAAGAAACTTTGGTTTCATAAATGCAAATGTGGATAAAATCCCAATGGTAACAAAAAAACTTTAAAACCTCTTATTATAAAATAAAGACTGAAACGGAAGCTTACTACAGTATTACCTATCTTCTCAGAGGTCAGAGATAGCTTTGGGAGGAGCTAGTTAGCAATTCTGGGCACATAAAGATCCTATGTCAGACAATATAGCCAGTGGGAAAACATGATGAAAAGATTATTTTAAAAACTAATTCTTAAATATTTTAACGAATATTTTTGGCCCAAAAAAGGAAGTAGTGATCGCAGCAAAATTAAAGGGTCAGGATTGCACATGATAACAAACAAAACTCAATGTATTCTCCAGGCCTCACTTTCTCTCTGCTCCCAAGTAAATACAATACAATATACAATATACAAACCTTGTGAACACCAAGTGTAGGTAAAGTATACAAGATATCATTGTACAACGCAGGTGCCAGTGGTCTTCCTAATTTGAACATCAAAACTGGAATCAGATTCGGTACCTGAAATGATTTCAAAGAACATATAAATTATGCCTTTTAAAAGAAATCAATCTATAAAACAATCATTATTTCATTTTTCTCCAAAGGAATACTATGAATATATACAAATTAAAAGACAAAAAATGCCAGTTAGCCATTTGTTGTTAATGATAAATTCACAGCATCACTAATATCCTATTTATTTTTAAATTACCTGTGAGCTCTTGTTCTATCCATTTACACATGTTTAAATACTCTAGCGTTTTTGGTGCTAAAATCACAACATTAATTCTCTGTAGTAAAAAATAGTTATGATCTACCCTAAAGAAGCTTACAAATTCTTGAAGAAAAAAAAAAGAAGCAGCTTACAATTCTAATGAGCAACATAATGAAATATTCAGTGATGTTATTCCAAAACAAAATAATTAAAATCAATTGTACTTTATGGGAATTAATAAACAAAAATTTCCTTGCAGGTTCATATTTCAATCCCTATGCATACTACAATAAAATAAGAAAAGCAAATCATGTTTTGATTGGATGCTTTTTATTATTAAGATGGCAATATTCCCCAAATACATCCACAGATTCAATACAAACCCTATCAAAATTCCAGCTAGCCTCTTTGCCAAAATTGAGAAATTAATCCTAAAATTCATATGAAAACAAGTGATCCTGAAGAGCCGAAACAATCTTGAAAAGGAATGAAGTTTGAACATTCAGCTTTCTCAAATACAAAATTGTCCTACAGCAATCAAAATACTATGGTACTTGAATAAGAATGTAAATATAGATCAGTGAAATAGAACTCAGTATCTAGAAATAAAACTTGTCATTTATCTTAATTGATTTTAGACAGACCCAGAAAACATGATGAAGAAAGAAGAGTCTCTTTGAAAAATGGTGTCTGATTTTGAAAACTATATTTCTACCTACAAAAGAATTAATTTGGACCCCTTCCTCATACCACATTAATAATTTTTGAGCAAAAGTTAACTTAAAATAGAGTTTAGACTAAAAATGTAAGAACAAAAATTGTAAAACTCTTAACGAAAATATAGGAGTAGATCTTTCTGACCTTGAGTTAGGCAAAGCCTTCTTAGATATGACACCAAAAGCATGAGCAACAAAATAAAATATATTTCATCAAATTAAAAATATTTGTCCTTCAAAAGACACTATAAAAGGAATGAAATTGTGGAATTCACAAACATGTAGATGGACCTAGTGACTGTCTTACAGAGTGAAGTAAGTCAGAAAGAGAAAAACATATATCACATAATATCACTTATATGTGGAATCTAGAAAATGATACAGTGAACTTATTTGCAAAGCAGAAACAGAGATACAGACACAGAGAATGGACATATGGATAGTTGAGGGGGAGGAGATGGGGGAGACAGAGGGGCAAGAAGAGAGGAGGTGGGATGAATTGAGAGATTGGGATTGACATATATACACTATTATGTATAAAATTGATAATTAATGAGAATCTATTGTATAAGCACAGGGATTCCACTCAGCACTTTGTGGTGACATAAATGGGAAGGAAATCCAAAAAAGAGAGGATGTATGTATACATATAGCTGATTCACCCTGTAGTGTAGCAGTAATGAACTCAACATCGTAAAGCAACTATATGCCAACAAAAAAAATAGTTTTTTTAAGACACTATAAGGAAAATGAAAATAAAAGGAACCCATGGAATGGAAGAAAATATCTGCAAATCATACATCTAATGAGGGACTTCTATATCCAGAATATAAATATATCAAGAACCCTCCATAATAAAGGACAAATAATCCAATTTTAAAAGAGCAATGGATCTGAATAGATATTTCTCCAAAGAAGACAAACAAATGACCAATAAAGACAGGAAAAAATACTCAACCAGCATTAACCATGACATAAATGCAAATCAAAACCAAATAATATGCCACCTCATACCAAATAGGATGACTTGAAAAGACATATCATAGGGAGGGGGGATCGGGATGGGGAATACATGTAAATCCATGGCTGATGCATGTCAATGGCAATGTATGGCAAAAACCACTACAATATTGTAAAGTAATTAGCCTCCAACTAATAAAAATAAATGGAAAAAAAGAAGAAAAGACAGATCATAGCAAATACTGACAAGGATGTGGAGAAATCAGGACCGTCATACACTGCCAGTGGGAAAGTTAAATGGTGCAGCCCCTTAGGAAAACAGTCTGTCAGTTTCTCAATTGGCTAAATAGAATTACCATACGATTTAGTAACTGTACTCATAGGTATTTACCCAAGTGAAATTAAAACATATATCCATACAAAAACTTACATGTGAATGTTCACAGCAGTATAATTCACAACAGCCAAACAGTGGAAACAATTCATCAACTGATGAAGCGATAAATAAAATGCAGTATACCCCTATGATAGAATATTATTCTGCCATAAAAACAGAATCAACAGATAAACTATTTAAATATCAATAGCGAAAAATAAACAAATAGCCCAATTTAAAAATGAACAAAGGACTTGAACAGACATTTTCCAAAGAAGAAATACAAATGGCCACAGACATATGAAAAGATGCTCAGTATCACTAATCATCAGGGAAATGCAAATCAAAACCATGATGAGATATCACCTGACAACTGTTAGAATGGCCATTATCAATAAACTAAAAAAATAACAGCTGTTGGCAAGGATGGAGAAAAACTGCAACCCTTGGGTGATGTAAAAAGTATAACGGTGCAGTGACTATGAAAAACAATATGGAGGTTCCTCAAAAAATTAGAAACTAACACATGATCCAGCAATCCCACTTCTGGGAATATCAGTACAGGCAGTAGACTCTTTTAAATTTATTCACTCAGACACACACACACACACACAAATTAACTGCTCAGGTACTATTAGCTACTTATTCTAAAACAATAGTCTTTTGATTGAAACACAAACTTTTCTGTAATATTTTATGGAATGTCAAGAAACTTTAATTGTTTGACTTGTTTCATCTGGCACTGTTGGTTTCTATAATAAAATACACATGGGCAATTAAAAATGTTTCAAATCAAAGGAACTGAAACCAGGATCTCAGAGAGATATTAAGCACCCCCGTGTTCACTGTAGCATTACTCACAATAGCCAAGAGATGGAAATAACCTAAATACTATCAATGGATGGACAGATAAAGAAAATGTGGAATATACATACACAAGGAAATCCTGTCATATACTACAGTATGGATATGGATAAATCTTGAGGACATTCTGCTATGTGAAACAAGTCAGTCACAGGGACAAATATCACATGGTTCTATCGTATGAGGTATCTAAACTAGCCAGTCTTAGAAGAAGAAAGTTGAATGTGGTTACCAAAAGCTGGGAGAAGGAAGAAATGGGGACTTGCTCAGTGGGTACAGAAATATAGCCTTGCAAGATGAAAAACTGTATACAGTATACCTTCATTTTGATAAGAACATATATTTCATGTTATCTGCTTCTCACTACAATTTTTAAAAGAACCATGGGATTGTTTTTTAAGAGTCAGAAGAGTCTTGTTGAGTTCATTTAGGTAAACAACTTTATTTTACAGATAGTTGATAGAGGTGAGGCATGGAGGGAATTACAAAGTTAGTGACAGAATGAGGATGGAAGTTCAGATCTCAGTTTACTCCTTTCTATCCTGGGAGAAATGAAAACAACAGAAGATTCCAGGCTGTATATAATCGGATAAAGAGTTATCATGTTAAGTCTTCTTCCTATAATTGGACTAAACATAGAAGAAAAAAGCAGGAGAGACAAAACTCAGCATCTCCCTGGAGTCAATCATATAAAGAATAGAGAAGAAAAATTTTACTCTGGATTCCACCAAAAATATCCATGTGGGCAACACTGTACAAGTTACACAGAAAGCAGCATAATCTTTCAGAGTCCTATAATGAAAATCATGAGTAGTGCTATCCACTTATAAATTGAGAAATATTGAGGGCTTTTTTATTATTCACTTTGGTTTCCAGATGAGAGATAGAATTAATGTCTATAACTAGCCTCTTTTTAAAAAATATGAGAACTCATACTTTAACAGTATATAAGAGATAGTTATGAATAAATATTAAAAAATTAAGATACCAGTGAAAAAAAATTCAAGGCATGTTCATCATATGGAAGTAAGAGGTAAACATCCAAAGTGGTATCTGGTTTTCTTTAACTTTTCTGACTTATGTTTTATAAAACTAGACCTGAAATATAAAGTGAATTCCTAGATCATATTTTATAAACTCCCTTAGATAATTGCTGAAATATCTTCACACAAGACTGTCCTGTGAAAAAATGGAAGTAATTTTATGTATACAAAGGTATTTTCCATTTATAAAACAGTGGTAACATTATGTGTTGTTAGAAATGAAAAGAGAAAACATGAATTAAAATTTGTATTGATGTGCACTTGATTTAGTGTACATGTGTGAGTTTCAGGTGTACTGCATAGTGATTTGGCAAAATGTGAAATTTTATAAAACAAAGAGTGAATATGCTAGATGGTACATACAAACAGAAGCATAAAAGAATTCTTAAATAATTTTAACAGTGAAAGAGCTTTTTTCAGTGATTTATTTTACAAAAAAGGGGCATAATGTACTAAGGTGTTTTTGAACATCAGTTAATTCCATTTTCCTCAATTATTTGACATGTCTACTCACAATATTACTTATTATTTCAGTAATACAGTAGAAAGCAGTTCACTGATGGACGTGCTGAAAAGCTAATCATTTCTTTTTCTTATAAGAATCTGAAGAAATGCAGCAACATCAAAGAAATCTAAACAGTGTAATTTTTTCTTCTTCTGTGGTTCATATTATATCATAATGTTATAACTAAATAAGTGGCTTGGGGTCTTGAACTTTAACCTTTGAGAGTCAAATAAGGTCAAGGGAAGAAAGATTGCCTCCACTAGGCAATCTTCTTTCTGTTTGATATTCACTCTAGCTTTATTCCAATTCAGCTTGAGCATATGATTCATAATGACTCCTC